CTTGAGCCACAGGCGCTGAGCCCCCCCCCCTTTTTTTTTTGAGACAGAGTCTCACAATGTCATCATCAGTAGAGTGCTGAGCTCACAGTAACCTCAAATTCTTGGGCTTAAGTGATTCTCTTGCCTCAGCTTCCTAAGTAGTTGGGACTATAGATGCCCACCACAATGCCCAGCTATTTTTCTTTTCTTTCCTTTCTTTTCTTTCTTTCTTTCTTTCTTTCTTTCTTTTTTTTTTTTTTTTTTGACACAGAGTCTCATATCACCCTCAGTGAAGTGCCATGGTATCACAGCTCACAGCAACCTCAAGCTCTTGGGCTTAAACGATTCTCTTGCCTCAGCCTCCCAAAGTAGCTGGGACTACAGGCACCTGCCACAACACTGGCTGTTTTTTGTTGCAGTTGTCGTTGTTTAGCTGTCTCTGGCCGGATTCGAACTTGCCATCCTCAGTGTATGTGGCTGGCCCCATAATCACTGTGCTATGGGCGCCTAGCTAATGCCCAGCTATTTTTAGAGATGGGGTCTTGTTCTTGCTCAGGCTAGTCTCAAACCAGTGAGCTCAGGCAATCTGTCCCCCTCAGCCTCCCAGAGTGCTAGGATTATAGGCATGAGCTGCCTTGCACAGCCCCATAGTCTCTTCTTAAATAGGTTTTGTGCTAAGTCCAGTTTTGCCAACCTACCTAATATTTTGTTGGCCTTTTTTTAAAAAATATTTTTTTCAAATATCATATATTACCTACATGAGAAACCCCATGTAAATATTCATAAAACATTATTTTTTGTCTAAGCTATTGTTTTTCTTTGTGATTTCTTTGTCTATTTATTTGGCCCATACTTCATTCCTTAAATTTTCTGCTGTTTTCTGTATGTAGCTTTGGCATCAACAAATTTGGCCCATACCTCATTCCTTAAATTTTCTGCTGTTTTCTGTATGTAGCTTTGGAGTCAACAGAGAAATTGAAAATTTTGCCTCCACATTACGTTTTACTTTGGACCTCTCTCTCACCTAAGACTGGCTGAGCTTATCAAGTGAGATAAAGTGCCTGAGAGTGAACCTGAATCTGAAGTCTTAGAAGGATGTTTTTACTAATTGTATGTCAGCAAGCAGATATAATTTGGTCTCTGTAAATTCATTTTTTCCCTCTGTTTATTTTTATTTCCCTCTTATTATTAGAAATAATAAGATAGGTATGAGTGACTGAGTTAACATCTGACAAAATCATTAATCAAAGTAAGTCCCCTTTCCTTTCTGATTTGAATTGTCCTTCTTTCCTTAGTCTAACTAGGGTTTTTCAATTTTAATTACCTTTTCAAAAACCTACTCTCAGATTTGTTGATCTTTTGAATTTTTCTAATCTTTATTTTATTTTTTCTGCTCTGACCTTTCTTATATCCTTCCTTCTGCTAACATGGAGCTTATTCTTTTACTAATTATTGAGGCATAATGTTAGGTTGCTTGTTGGAGATTTTTTTTGATTTAGGTATTTAGTGCTGTGAACTTCCCCTTTTGAAATGTTTTTTGCTGCATCCCATAAGTTTTGGTGTGTTGTGTTTCCATTTTCATTTGTCCCCAATGCTTTGATACTGGACACATATATGTTTATAATTTTTATCTCCCCATGATAAATTAACTCTTATAATATAATGACCTTCTTTGTATCTTTTCACAATTTTTATCCTAAATTCTATTTTGTCTAAAGTAAGTATAGGCCAGGCGTGAGTTAGGCCAGGTGTGGCACTCACATCTGTAATCCCAGCATTCTGGGAGGCTGAGGCAGGTGGATCACCTGAGCTCAGGACTTTGAAACCAGCCTGAGCAAGAGCAAGACCCCATCTCTATTAAAATTAGAAAAACCAGCTGTACATTATGGTGGATGCCTGTAGTCCCAGCTACTTGGAAGGCTGGGG